TATGAATGAAGGAGATCAGAGAAAGGGAATCAACTGAGAAATGTCCCTTTCACTGGACAGGTAGTTTAAGAGAGTAGGAACATTAGTTTGAGTTATGCAGACAAACTGTATAGCCCAACACAGGGCTTTGATCAAGATTCAGTGGTTTATGGACCACAGTCATAGCAGATACATTTGTGTTTCTCCCCACTCCCTAGTTTTGTCTCTAGTGATCCTCACCTTGCCTTCCTGTCCTTGAGTTATTGTGGCTATTTGTGGGGCAATATTTGGAAAGCCGTAGAAGATTATAGCCCTTCTTTATACTATATCACCAGGGTGACCTGTGGATTTCTTGCCTCCGGGAGGTACAAATTCTGGGATGGTAACATTAAATTGAAATTGGGGATCTGCATGAAATTATACCTTTGCTTGGAGTTTTCTTTTCTGCCCACTTGCCCTACTCTTCTATCAGTATATCCTAGAAGTACTTCTTTAAATCACTAGCACATGGAGCCTCCTCTCAGGGTCTATTTCTGCAGAGCCTGACTTTAGAAAGCAATCTTACGAAATGCCAAAGATACAATGGCTTTAGAATGCTCATTGTCTGGCAGGGAAGAAAGATAAGCAAACAAGCAATTATAGCAGAGTCCAATGCATGCTGGGATGAAGGTGCACATGGGTACAAGAACACCCAGAGCTTGGAGCCTGGCTCCATGTTGCCTCAAATGCTACACCAAGAGGCAGAAGAATTGATTTTGGAGTCAGATAGGTTATTTGACATGTGTGAATTTTGGCTTTATCTCTTACATGCTGGATGCTCTTAAGTGAGTGTGGCTTTCTGATTCTGTTTCTTCTTTTATAAAATGGGTGTAAGACATAGCTCACCGAATTGTTATGAATATTATCTCACTTATAGGGTAATAAATGTAAAACTCTTGGCCCATTATTGTGCTCATAGTGAGTGTTCAATAATGGAAGCTTCTTTTTGTGAGTATTGTATCCCTTCAACTTGATGTGGATACATCAGTGAAATGTCAAATCATTTATGATGTTTCTTAAAGGTTTTCTACATACATTCTGTAAGCATGATGTAATTCCATTTGTTCTCAAAACTACACACTTACCAGGACTGACCACAGAATGGAGTCTTCCTGCTTTTCTATCTCTTCTTTGTATCCAAATATTGAAGTCTACACCCCATTTCCATCAAGCTCCCCTGTAAGCATTGCTCTTTCATTTGTGAGTTTTCTTCTTTGCTTGGAATGTTTCTCTGTGAAAGAAAAACATTCCAAGCTGCCCCATATCTTTGCTGCCCCAGGCTCACAAAAAAGCTAAATCCGGTCTTGGCTCTCCAAAAAAGAATAAATCTCAGCCTGCCCCCAAAGAAGTTGCTGTCATAATTACATCTCCTTTTGGAAGTAATTTTGACTTAATCGCATTACAGCTAGATTGCACCACTTCCTTGGCCAAAGTTGGTTCCAAATTGGCTTGCTATTCCCCTCCTGGTCCATAGATACAGCTATCTCTTTTTTTGGTGGCTGTTTGTGAGAAAAATATCTGATGATTTCAAAGGAAGTTCAAACAGAATACCAGAGGGTGGCACTGATTTCTTCTGTTGAGAAATCAGGCTGATTGAGCTCTGACCTGCTGCTCCCACCGAGGTGCCTCTCTCCTATGCCATTGAGGGTTCTGGAAGGGTCAGATCTGGCCCTGGCTGTTGCTTCTCACTTGATGATACAGGGAGCATCTAGGTGAATGTTCAGAGCGAATTTCTGCTATCTCCCTTTCTCTTCCATCCTCCTCGCTTTATATTCCCAGGCCACCAATTGAGAATATGTGACACTGTCCCACGTGCCAAGCCCTTCGTGTTTGGTCTCAGCAAAGTCAAGCTGCTCCTCAATGACTTCATCACACTAGGTGAGGTGTGGGACATAAGAAGGGCATTGTGGCCCCTGTCAACTCTACACAATAATCCGTGCTGTAGGAATTTTTCAAAGAAGGAATATGAATAAGGATAATGGAAGAAGGCTCCCCAAAGAAGACAATGGCTTTGAGACAAGCATAGGAAACATCTGAAAGCAAGTGTGGAGACATCTTCTAACCTTGCCCTTTTATGTGAGAGGAGTTAGAGCTGAGGCTGGACATATCGTCCATTGCGATGAGACTGCAAAGGGCTCTGAATGCCAAGATGAGGCCTGAAACTGATTGTAAACAGGAAGTCCATTTGGGAGGTGATCCAGGATTGAATTAACCTAGAACAGTTTTTGTTTCACTGGATTCCCAAATTCCCCCACCAGCTTATGGAAAAGCTAGTGGAACCTGACAATAAGAAACTCACTTGTAGACAAACTTTCTTTCACTTGTAGACAAAGTTTCCCTTCAGAGAGAAAGGGGATTATTGTGTAAGAGCAACCAGATCAAAATGGTGTTTAAATTGGCAAGAGCATACAGAGGGGGAAATTTTCAATATTGCAGGCTGATATTTTCTAAATGCCTGCACCGGCCCTATTGTGCCTGGAATCCTCCACAGGCAGATTAAGTCCCTTCTGGTATGTTTTACTACTTACAACTCTGCTTAACAAGAGCCCTCCCACATTTGCTAAGTAGAGCCATGAAGGATGCAGGCTTACTCCATCTTCATCTTTTCCTTCTTCCCCAGCCTGGTCCAGAGAGCTAACATCAAGTTTCTTAGAAACAGTGAACCTCCACCTTGGGGAAGTCCTTTCTCTGGTCTACCTTTTAGCAATTCACTTGTTAATAGAGATTCATGGAAGACTCACAAGATGTAGGACATTTTCTCCTTGCTCATGTTTCATAGGACCCTAAGTAGCAACTCACATTTTAGGACAGACAGTCCCCATCATCACCCACTGTCCAGACCTGGCCCATGAGGACGGTGCAAGAAGGAGCTGCCTACAAGGGTACTAGAAGGGTTTGAAAATGGTTATTAATGGAGGACAGAGCAGCATTTGTGTGAAAGGGGGATTAAAATGTGCTGACGCTGCTGAAATGGGAAATGCTTGTTAATAGCACAAGTGACACGTCATAGATCACTCACTGACAGAGCAAAGTGTGTGCTGTCTTCAGGAACAGAGCCTGCATGTTAATGACTCCAGGAGGAGCAATGCAGAGTGCGCTGGATCCACCCCTCCTGGCTATAAGCATGTGTGACATTGCAGAGGTAATAACCCCAAACTCAACCCTCCCAAAGCACTGGTATAGGGCATGGTGTCTGTAACTTCTACTTTCTTTCAGTAGGCCTGGAATTGCAATTGAGTGACAAAACAGGTGAATGCTGCAAATCTCAATGTTGAGAAATGCTATGAAATCTCCACCTGCCTCAGACCACAAAGAAATCAAATTTAGCCACAGTGAAAAATGGAGAGATGGATTTGATGGCGAATGGAATTTCTCCAGATTCCTTTCTTCAAAAGGTCTTGATTTTCTTTTTTAAATAAATGTGCCGTCAGAAGGAAAATATGTAGGCTTTTGAGTGCATTTAAGTTTTTCAGAAACATGATCATTTGAGGACACTGTGGAGCAAAAGGGCATGTAGGGCATAGAAGAAATGTAGTTTTGCCCATTCCTTGTCATCTTTCTTTGATTTTCCCTGCTGGCTCCCCCAGGCTCTTGCCGGGCTCTGGCTTGGGTCTGCATCAGACAGGTGCTGCACCTGCTCTCAAGTGCTCTGGGGAGTGTGAGCATGAGTGCACTCAGGGAGGCCACAGTCTGAATCTGGCCACAGAGGCTTGGGGATAAATGATAGCCACATGTTAAAGGAAATGTCAGAGGGGTGCCAGAGCCTTGCCAGCTCCTTACTAGAGAGAAAGGGATGAATGCCAGACCTCAGAGGAGACCACGGATTTCTAGAGACCTTCTAGTCATGACAACAGTCACAATGATAATACCTACAGGTCATTACTTCAGGCATTTTTGAGAAGTCACCATTGATGTTTTAAAAATTAATACACTAAGGAGGTACAAGATGTTTTTTCTCAAAGCTGTCAGGTGATGAATGAGTGGCAACACTGGGGTCCAGCCAGAGTTCACATGATTTTATCCCCTCTCCTCCCACACAGGTACCCTGACCCCATGCTCTCCTGCAGCCTTTGGAGCACCTGCTCTTCCTTGGGCTCTGTTTTTCCAGAGGCTGAAGTGTGGACACAACCCGTGCCAGGTCCCTGGGAACTCTCAGCAGGGAGATTCTTTGGAAGTAGCTAAAAACAACCTCCTCTGTTCAGCTGCCCAGAGACAAGATCTAAATGCAATTAAGCTAGTACAATATTCTTTCAGTCTCCATCCTTTTTTAGCCATTTCTCTGAAAAATTCTGTCACTGGTAGATGGGATCTCTGGGTTTCTAAAGGGACACATCCTTGTGAAGAACTAACTCTAGACACAAAATTTTGTTCATGCAAAGGAACAGGACTTAAATTCAAGAATAGCCTACAGGGACGTAAGGCAGAACCTTCATGAAGTTATTCTGTGGGCACTAAGGAATAAGTTAACACATACATTATGGGCTGACTCCTTTCAGGACATGGCAGTGTGATTAACTGCTTCCTTGGGTTTGTTTTGTGTTGCTGTAATAAAATGCCAGAGATTGCACAGAATAAACAGTGAACATCTGCTTCTTCTAGTTTTGGAGGCTGGGAAGTCCATAACCAAAGTGCCAGCAGATTTGCTGTCAGGTGAGAGTGTGCTTCCTAGTTCTCAGATGGCTATTTTCTCTTTGTTCTCACATTGAAGGGGCATGAAGTATCTCTGAGGTGTTTTTATGAAAGCACAAATCCCATCATGCAAATTTACCTCATGATCTCCTAAATCCTCTGCCTCCAAATAACATCACACTGAGCATTAGGATTCACCATGAACTTAGGAGGAGAAGGAGACATAAAAATTTAATCCATAGCAGTGTTTAATGCACTTTACTATGTCATCCAAAAGCATGTTGAGAAGTTGGGTCTACTATGCCATTCCACTAAAGAAGAAAGAAAGTCCCAAAGAATTTAGCTGATTTGCCCATAGCCAGATAACCATGGAGCCTTCACAGGACCCAAGTCCCTGTCATGCTCTGAAAGGGATATTCTTATCCCTACTTCCACAAATTTACTTCTCAACACCAGCTCATACCATACAAATTTTATTCCCTTCCCTTGAGTAATAGTTCCTCATGGCATAATCGCAAAATTTGGAGCCTATTGTGGGTGAGTTCATCAAATGAGCCTGTCACCAGGCTGGTGGTCTGAGGGCCACCAAGGCTGAAATATGGGACTTATCCCACCCGAATATAATGGGTTTGCAGATTCCCTGACTTGTGTCATAGAAAAAGAATTTTCAGGACACATCAGTAAGATACACGAGGTGGTTTATCAGACAGGCTTTAAGATGCATTCAGGAGAGTGCAGGTGCTGAGGGACAAGGCGCGTTGTGAGCATTATGAGTTGGGGCATCTTCAAGATGGTGTTCCAGGACGTGCCTCCTTGCTGGCTGTTGGTCACAGTGCAAGCCATCTGCCGGTGTTTAAAGTTGAAATCTGCTGCCCACCAGTGTTGTTGCTTCCTTGGGGTGGGGGAAACGGTTTGCAGATGAAAAGCACAGGTCCAGAGCCCAGATTCACAGGATTATTGTCTTTAAAATTCTTTAGGAGTTATTTTATTTTTCAGTGAATTTCCTGGAAGAAAAAAGGCTTGAGTAATTTTTATGTCTTGAAGTTGCAGGTAAATGCAATTTTGAAATCTCAATTTCATTGTTTCCTTTCTATCTAATTTTTATTTGTTTTATCTTCCCTAACCTCCCCCTCCCTCCTGCTGTACCCCTAATCTTCAGTTCCTTGTTCTTAAGGGGATACCAGGAGCCATTCCTTATCTCAGCCTTGGAGACTCTCAGACTCAGCCTGGTGACTAGCCATGTGCAAAATTTTGGTATAAGCAACAAATGAGCACGGAGTCTCCACAGGGTCAATAAGCTGTCTTAACTTAGAATGGAAAGTGTCCAGGCAACAGAAATTGAGAATGTCCAGGTCGGTCATCCTTGGTGATCCTTTGGTCCAGTGTTTCTGGCCTCTGCCTTTGTGGGAGGGCTGAGCAGGATGATTTCCTCTTTGTCTCATCTGTGACCCTGTGGAGTATTGTAAATGTGTTTTGTCCAGGGCTCAAGTGTTCCCCAGGGGAGGAGCAGCGCGTGCTCATAAACTCCCCAACCTGGTGGCCCTACAAGCATGAGTCTGTACCTAATCCCAAGCCCCACAGCACCCCCAGATACTGCCTAATTGGCATGAGTGGATAATGTAGGCTAGTGGCAGAACTACTCTCCTCTCAGCATAGCGTTGCCCTGGCTTTGTGCAGCTCATTCACTTCTCAGGGGCTGTGGTGTTTTCAGATCTCCTGGAGACACTGTCTTCTGGGCCACATAGAAGGACTGATGCACAGAGGCACCTCTACCTTCCGAGAGGCAGCTGGGTACTAGAGGAGAAAGAGATTCACTCAGTCACGGTTGATGCTGGATACCTGGAGCAGGTTAGGAGTTTGCTGTCAGCACCCGGGCATTTGAGGCAAGCAGCAGCATGCTCTGAGAAGAGCTGCCCTTCCCAGGCTGGGCAGATGCTTTGAGGCAACTCTCAATCATTTTTTTAAAGAAAATAAAACCTCCTATCTGAAACAGGGACCTGTTCCTTCTTTTGGAGGGCTTGCTCGGGTCTGGTGATTGTTCCTTTTGAATGCTATGCGCTCTGTCTAGGCAACATTCAAATGAGAGAAAGGGCAAGTTGTTGTACTGAGGCACACTCTCAAGACCCAATGTTCCAGAAGTTGCCCAGACAGGGTGTGATGGTTCCCACTGCTGTGGGACTCTGTTTCACACATGGAGAATGCAGGCACACTCCACCTCGCATAGCAGTGAGGACTGCCAGGGGTGCAGCTGGGACTTGCTTGACATCCCGAAAGAAGGAGGCTCATATCAGCACCTGAACTCTCTGCTTGCTCCTGCCCTTGATGCCCTGCCTGACCCAGGGCGCATCTTTCCTCTGAGCCTCAGTTTTTTCTTCTGTAATACAGACATAGGGTCTTGTGCTCTGCTCTCTCTTAGGTTGCTTGAAGGAGACACTGGGTGTCAGACTTGTATCTAGAAGGCCTGGGCATGGCAGCTACATGATTTTATGGAAACTTTGTGTGACCAGGCATGCAGGTCTCACTGCCCTCACATGATCTCTTTGCCTCTTTGCTAACAAAATGAAGAAAATATTATCTGCCTGAGCTTTCCTTTGTGAAGACCAAGCCCACTGCCAATGCTGTATGTCAGATTCCTATTTATAGCTGATTGATTAGACTGTTTTGTAGCTTCTGTCCTGCCCTACAGCTCCTTGACCACCAAGCCCATCTACTGACCCTTTGTGCTGGCCTTGCTCCGCCAACTCCTATTCTCACCATATGGGCCAGAGGACACCACTCTCTTCCTACATCCACGCTTTTGGGCACCTCTTTCTGCAAGGACTTTTCCCCACCTCACCTCTCAGACCTACAAGCCCCATCCCAAATTTCCATCCACTTCCAACCTAACTCTACCTAGTCCGCTTTAAGGCCCCGACAGAATGTGTTCTTCCCTCCTCTGCTCTTGTGGCCTCTTACTGTGACCCTTGGTGAGTCTGTCTCCTTTCTTACCATTCTAGTTCAATGAGAGTCATTTCCAGAAGCAGGCATGTTGGCCCCAGTGCCTGGACCATGGTGAGGGTATTCACTGTACAGAAAATGATGAATGACTGGGGAAAGGTGGGGTACATATAGATAGTACGGGGTCTGAAACCTTACTCTGGGCTTTATCGCTGTTCCCAGAGTATTTTGACTAAGTGTCTTTATCAAAGCTCACAAATTCCACCCTCCACTTGGCAACCTTTCCCACCCCTGCCCCCTGCCCAGAGGCCCCTTCCCCTGCTCACCCTCCTCCTTTCCTCACTGCCTCCAAAATCAATTTTCAGCAAGAGCAGCAGGTTCAGAGCCATCTGGGGCTGCTGGCAGCCACGGCAGGCTGTAAGCAGCTCAGTCTGTTTCCCTTAAACCAGCCCTCGAATTTCTCTGCCATCCTCAGCCTGGTCTTCCCCCTCATCCCTCCTGCAAGGAGGAGGAGGAGCTCTGGTTCCGGACCTAAGTGGCCTTCTTCTGAGGGGTCCTTCATCCCTGCAGTGCAGCCATGGGTGTGGGGTCAAGGTTGGCTGCGCAGGCCCCAGGCAACTAGACAGCACTCACAGGCCACTTCCCCACCTGTGGGGAAGGAAGGATGTGCTAACTGGCAGGCAGAACACCTCATGGAGGAGGCTGGACCAGTGCCATGTTCACAGAGTAGCCCTTCTCACCTCCGCCTCAGACTCCATCTTAGTGAAAGCAGAGTTCCACATACAAAGCCATTTTCTCTCAGTTTGAGGGCAAGGAAGGAAAACTATCTCTCCTGGCCCTCTATATGCTTCATTGAAGGCCTCTCCAGCCCAGGGCCTTGGCAATGGATGCCAAGCAGAAGAGGTCATCACACTAGAATACTTTGGGATGCATTTACTTCGACTGTGGGCACCAGCCTAGGACACTTCTATGCCATAAGGATCCAATCCACACCTCACAATCTGACTCCTACACAAGTACATAGGCAGATTTCACCTGCTTCCCTTAGTAATTAGTTTTCTGGTCGAAAAGAATATTTTAGATGATACTTATGTGAAGATCTACTACCAATTTCTTTTCTTAGGCTCCTTCTCCTGAGTCCCCTCAATTCCCACTATAATGCCTCTTCTTTCTCCCTGTCATGGACTGACACAGAAGAAACCCAAAGATTAATAGAACTCTAAGAACAAAGAGGGAGAAGAGAAGGCATTTATTTCTAGAACTTTCTCCTAGTGACCAGAAGAGCCAAGACCTAAACCCATAGAACTTGTCTCATAGATGATGCTGGGGCATTAGCACTCTTTGGGCACTCTGACAATGGCCACCATGATCCTTGGAAGGCAGGACACAAGGGCACTGGGTCTGTCTCTGCCACCTTCCTGAGACCTTGGGTAATACACAATCACTTTGAGCCATGGTAACTCCTGCCCTTATAACATAAGACACTGGCCTTGACAATCCAATTATCTTTATTTCTTCAAGTAAGGGATCAACACCATTGTGGATGCTTGATAAATGTTTGTGAAGAGTCTACTTAGTTGAGATTCTAGGCTTGTAAGGATTCTTACACAGTGCCCTGTACAAACTAGATATGCATCATGGATTTCTATGATCTAATTTTCACATGGGTACAGTAAGACATTGAAGTACTCAAAACAATGCAATTAGAAAGTTTTAACTGGTATGTTCAGTGGTACAGAGGGATGGAGTTCAGGAACAGTGCCACTGGTGAATATCTAGAAAAATGCTGACACAGCAGCTAGAAGTGCAAAGGACCATTTCTCTCTTTCATTCACTTTGCTTTCTTTATCCATGTGTAAGTCTCGTACTCACCAAGCAGAAAATATGGAGACCACAATGTGGCCCCAGGTACCAGAACTATCCTAGCCTAGTGTAGAGGGAATTATCTTTCATGGTTAAATCATTGCTTTCTGAGCAGTACTACTGAGGGCTAGTGGAGTGCCCTCAGGAAGTCCTTCAGCTTGCCAGGGAAATTCAGACATTCCCATACTGCAAGGTGAGGTGATACCAGTTACAGCCAAACTTTTAGAATCACTGGAAGGACATTGGTAGAGTTCAGTCCAGTGTATTTCAATAGTTGTCCTTGTTACTTTTTTGTTGCTGAGAAAAAATATCTGACACATAAAGTTAAGGGGGAAAAGGTTTATTTAACTCACAGTTTGAAGAGATTTTAGTACATAATTGGCTGACCGCAAGGTAGGGTGTTTTGATAGACAGAATTGCAGAGCAGAAATAGTTCATGGTTGGTAGAAGATAGCCAAACAAGCAAGAGGAGACCATAGCTCTTCTTTCCCTTATATTTTATTCAAGGTACTTAGGGTCAGTAGCACTCACAACCTTAATCCTAGTGCCCTTGACCTGACATTACACCATGAATCAATCCCAGCTTCACACACTCTAGATCCAGGCACCTCTGAAAAAGCCCCACTTATGACAGTATGAGGCTTTGAGGGAACATCTATACAGAAGTCATAACAATAGTGTTCTGAGAAAGTCTTTAGAGGAGACAGACTTTGCCTCAGGGAAGGAAATGAGAAGGACTGTGAAGGAGGGACCAGGGTACAGGTTTAGGCTGAGCTGATGGATGAATTTTCCCTGTCAGCCCCTGCACCAGACATCGTAAGGTGCTGATTTGCTCTCTGCTTTCCAGGGAATTATTCATTGATCAGATTCCCACTCCATCTTCTCCCTCACCATTGCAATAGATCACTGCTGCATTTGTATCTTTATGCACATTTTAAAAATTGTTTTCCAGAGAAGCAGAAAGCTCACCAGACAGCAAATCTTCTGGAGACTTGATCTAAGACCTTCTGACCTCCAGAACTACTGCTTAAAAGTCACGCAGTCTGAAAGCTAAGCCCTCACCTGCAAGCCAACTGGAGTGCAATTTGGGGAGAGCTGGGATGGAAGCAAAGCCCCGACCCATGAGCCAGCTAGAGCACAGATATAGAAGACAAGAACATCCCCCTCTCACGGCTCCCCATACATACCCTGTGACTGACCAGTT